ATACAAGTAGAGGTCTAGTTCCGCTTGGATATCGCACCCCGCCTTAAACTCCCTTTTATAGACATACATTTGTTGAATGTAAAAATATATAAAATAATAAAAATACTACTTTTATTAAATACAAATATTCAAAATCACAAAAATAATTATATAAAAATTTCAAATGTCAAGATTAAATTTACTCATTTAGAATTTTTGATTGAAAATCAATAATTAAACTATTACAATCAACCTGTTTTAGAATTTCTTTTTAGTAGACAAATGATCAATCAATTCAACATTTTTACGACAATTTTGACCAAAAGTAGAACTTTTTCAACTTCAACATTGATAAGCTCCTCTCGATGGACGCAAGTGTATAGGCAGATGCAAGTGTAACTCATATAGTGAGTAATATTTACAACCTGTCAAAAAATTTTAAAAATAGTGCTTCATTTTTATATAATTTAAAACTTCATTCACCATTTTTGGTGTCTTTTGATAAATCATTTATAATAATTTACAGCTCAGAAAATAAACTTGGGTCATAAATAATAAAATCCTTGTCGTGCTTAAGTTTTTTTCTTTTTTTTTTCCCCCAAGCTTATCTCATCAACACTCAAAACAATTATCATCTGCAATTTCAAAAATTTTCAGTCAAAACCAAAAATATTTTCATACTTTTGAAGTTATCCAAAACCTTAATTGATGTGGGGAAAGAACTAATCAACCATATAAAAGAAATAATAAACTTTAGTATTTTATCTTATTATTGACATTTTCATTAGGAGTTTCTTTCCACGAATATACTTTTCATAAAATATAAGTTCAACTTCCATTTCAGTTGCAATTTTTTAACAGTAATTTTGTCAAATTCAAATCTAGTTCTCTATTGTTATTAAAAATGAATAAGCTCTTCAAAGTTACTAGCTTGAATATCCATGTCCTCACTTCGTAACATTTTTCTTACTCCATTAATAATAAGCATATTGTACCAAATAATCACGCCAAATAAAAAATCATAATTCATAATGTCAGAAGATGAAATTTTAACATCTTTAAATGCTTTAGCTTCATTTCTTGTTTTCACCAAGTGTTTTTAAGCAATTTCTTTTTTTCTGGCATTTGAAATCAAATTCTTTAATACTTTCAACTTAAATTTTCCAATGCATTTTTGATAATGACTTTTGTACAATTCTAAAAAAGATTTAACTTTATAGAATATGCATTTTACAATTCTGAAAATGTTAATAAATTTTATTTTATTTTATTTTATTCTTTTGTAGCTGATGAATTTTTTAAACTTTTTTTTTCTCGATAAATTTGTTTGTTATACGGCTCAGAAAGTGTACAGGAACATCCCAACTAAGTTTGCATCTTCGTAGCACTCTCATCATTTACTCTCCCAACTCTTAATAATAAAAGAAACAATTGGTCGTATAAAAAATATTCTCAACCTGCCCGAGAGATAATGAACAAAATCTGGTTGGGTTAAATGATTCCTTTGCATCTGTCAAAAGCCATGTGTTCTCACCAGTTGTAAAACATAGCTCAATTCAGGCTTTTACTTGGGGTAGTAGCAAGGAATGATATGGAGCTTGACCAGATAGATGTCAAGATAGCATTCTTGTATGGAGAATCTGAAAAGAACATTTATATGCAATAACTAGAGGGTTTCATAGTTTATGGAAAAGAAGACTGTGTGTTTGTTGAAAAAGTCATTGTATGGATTCAAGCAGTTACCAAAGCAGTGGAATAAAAGATTCGACTCATTCATGATTACTTATAGTTTCATTAGAGGTAATTACGATAGTTGTGTGTTCAGAAAGGAAAATGATGGATTGGTCACATATTTACTATTATATGTTTTATGATATGCTCATTGTAGCTAAAGATAAAGCAAAGGTGAATCTCAACTCAGTAAGGAATTTGAGATGAAAGATTTGGGTGTAGCAAAGAAAATTCTTCGTAGGAAAATGATGGATTGGTCACATATTTACTATTGGTGGTGTTGTTATGGCAATAAGAGGGATAATTGGTTGAAGGATGAGTGGAACTATCATGACAGAAAATTGTATTATTGCTAGATTCTGCCTATTCAACCTCCGGTTTGGATAATACCTTGAGTAAAACTTGTATTCATTAATATGAAGGTTTTATTTTATAAGAGTTAGAAGTAAATAAATTATATTTAATGGTTTATAATCTAACATGTGGCATGCAAATCCAAGTAAAACTCGAAACAACCATTGTGAAATTCCAGATTCGTTGTTCGGTAAAAGGGACTGATTTTTAGGCTGTAAATCCTTTACTTGTAGCAAAATTAATGATAATGTGATATAACTGTGGCAAAAGTTTGGGAATGAATGGATGTGATTAAGGGTAGAAAAAGAGGTGGGAAAGTGAACCGGGCAGTAATCGAAATTTAAAAATAGATTGTGTTCATTTGAGATTTCATGAACTACTTTCACCTTTACATGATCATTAATGACACGACCCATCCTGAATCAACCGAATGGACCCGAAATGTGATGTGCGCCGACGATAGATACTGCCTAGATGTCAAATATATCACTAATGCTGATTATGATTTATTACAAAAAATGCGTTAAAATAAATGCTTATGTAAAATATAATTCGATGACCCAAATTATTTACTTTGTGCTTGATTAATATGATTCATAGTACTCAACATGTCGTGTAGCTACCACTTCGAAATCAGTGGGCTCCTTCAGCTATAAAGAATTCAATTGCTACCTGTAGGAAAAATCATGAAAGGTATATGAGTTGATAGTGAGTGGAGAAATTCGAAAATAATTATACTTTTTCATTTATAAATCATTACCAAAAATCGAGTTTACATCATTTAATTATAGCCAAAAAGTGAGACATTTACATAATGTTGTAAAATATTATCTTGAAATCATGATATAAACAATAGCCCTAATCTCATCACATCAAATGTACTGAAAAGTCTACCAAAAATGTATCCTCTTATTGAAATTTGTAATCCATCCCTCGAGTTAAGAACTTTAGATACAGGCCTTTGATCCCCTCCGTGAACGAAAGTGGTTCTCAAGACCTTTGATAATCAATTCTAAAACACAGCCAAAACCCCTCAGTAAACTATATGTACACAGTCAAGACCCCTTCATCCACGGTCAGAGACCCATCAGTGTAGTATAGGACACGGCCAAGGCCGTTCGGTAAACTAGAAGAAATTTATAATCATGGGTACTGTCTGGTCGATCTCAATATGTCATCTGTTTCACATTCTAATTCACAAATGATCCATATCCAAACTTTAAATTTCACATTTATCATCGCGAAAGAACCTTTCCATATTAATCATGTAATTGAACAAATAATTCACATAATCTCACATGATATAATAGTATAAGTACCTTATTAATATTTGAAAATATATAAGTTTTTCCACTCACCAGTTGATAGCTTGATCGTGACACCAATCTTCTCGTCACTTCCTCACATTCAATATCAAGTATGAAATCTTGCACTCGCCCCAAGAAATCATATCTCCTCACAAGGTGCTTTATACCATTTTTCTTACCTTTAGAAATGATAATTACTATAAGTACTCGAGTCTTTTATTTTCAATGTTATAATCCCAATTATGATCATTAATAACATATCCACCATTATATATGTTATTTCAACACCTAAACCCCAATATTTAATACTTAATTTGTGTTCATACTAAAAATCCAAGAAAATCCAAAGATTACCAAAATTAGCATTGAATTTTCAAACTATTGAAATGCAGCACCAGTTTCTGTATATTGGAAAGTGTCCCTGAAAGCATTGATAGAATTAGCACTTTCTGGAATTAATTTAAAAAATAGCATCTGCACATGAATTTTGAACGAAAATTGATAAATAACAAAATCTAACCTCAACTACATATCTCACTATAATTCTTTGACTTTAACTGTAATTGAGTGAGGTGTAACAATCTTACCACTTTCAAAGAATTTCGTCCTCGAAATTCAATCAGCTAAGATTCAAACACAGATATAGAGCATATATTTGAACTTCGCTTACCACATAATGCTTCTTCTTTGAAATGATTTATCCAACAACTTTAACTAGACACAGAGCTCATTCTTTCCTATCTTGCATCTTCTTTGATTTTTTTTCCTATGTCAAGTTCCCACAATTATACTAGATAAGTCCATTGTAACCCCCATCGTTAAACAATTGGACCCATACTTTAAATAATATCCTAATGATCATTCTACCAAATTTTAGCAAAATTAATTGTTTCCAGATTTGCCTTTTAGGTTCTCCGGAACTTTGCCTTATGTCATGATTTAAACTATTCATTAATCAAACTCCTTTTTCTTCTTATTATGATAATGGTTACATATTGAAACCCAATAACATTCCTTTCCCTTCGTTTTTTTTTTTTCGCTTCTTTTCAAAGGTAAAACATTATCCAAAATTTTCATTCACTTCGAAACACTTTCTAAACCCTAACATAAATTATTATCGTAAATCAAACTCATCTTCTTTAGATACAAGAGCAAATAAATCCTCAAAATTTAATAAGTCTCGAGGTCCTGATGACATTTAGTCCATGAAAAATGTATACTTTTATTACATAAAGAGGCCATTAATCTATCGTCAATGCATAATCTTTCTTGTATATCGCATAAAGTTCTTTAATTAAGATAATGTAACCTAAAGCTACTATTCCACAATTAGTAATATTTACATTTGACGATGGTCTTAGAATTTGGACTTTTCAACATATCATCTTTATATTATATAGCAAATAGACCTTGATAAGAATGGATTACTTTATTTGTAAGATCCTAAAATGCAATCCAAAATAACCCAAATTTTACATCACTAAAAAATATTCATTGAATCCACTTTAACTTCAAAATTTAACTCAAAGCCTCCAAATTGCATGTAATACAACATAATAATCCAACAAATAGCCTTGTCAAAACTAATTAACTTAATAACTCAAATATATCATCACATTATCTTGCTATATGCGAAGCACGGAAATTGGACTTGGAAACTGGAATGCCAGTTGTTTCTCGTCTGTCTCTTCTTACCAAATGCAAATAGGCTTATGCTATCTGTTGTTTCACTGTTCACCTCCTCACAAGATTTTTAGAATGATAATTCTTAACTTTGTCGTTACCTTTTCCTTTTATGTTTTTATGTTTCTGGAACCATTAACATCTGGGGAGTATCCAGAAAGTATGATTAAACTGGTTGGATCTCGTCTTCCCTTATTTTCAACAGAAGAGTCAAAGCTGGTTAAAGGATCCTATGATTTTTTAGGATTGAAATATTACACAGCTACTTATGTGAAAAGTGAATCTAACTCACATGGTCTAGAAGTAAGCTACATTACGGATCCCCAAGTTACATACACAAGTAAGTGCATCAAGAAAGTTTCCGCATAGACTTACAATTTTTATTTATTTATTTATTTGTTTATTTTTGTGAGAATACACATTGAAGCGGATGCACTCTTTGAATTTTTGGTAGGTAAAGAAGTACCAATTGGTCCAAAGGTATTTCCCAAACATACTGACATGCGCCCTAAAATTTATGCATTATACCTTTTATTTATTACAGTAATTTCAAAATTGTACAGTAGTGTAGATTTCTAGTATTCTAGAAGACAATAATCAATGAATTACTACCACATTAACATTTTCAATGCATGCAATAATTCTCTGTTATTAATTATTTACTACTTCAATATTCAGGCTGCTTCAGACTGGTTATACATTTATCCACAAGGGATTTTCAAGGTCCTAGTTTATATAAAGGATGTATATAATGTTCCCCTTATTTACATCGCAGAGAATGGTGAGGATCCTACCTGTTAGCCTTTTTCTCATTGATGTTGAATTTTTCTATGGAGATCGAACATGAGACATTTTTATGTGATTTGATATTAAAAAGTTCCTATTATGTTGCACAGGGGTGGATGAAATGAACAATACGAGTCTCACAGTTTCTGAGTCTCGGGTGGATGACATAAGAATTAAGTATCACCAGGATCATCTATTATATATTCGATATGCAATTATGTAAGTGCTCTACATAAACTCCTCTAATGTGTGTGTAGTCGTTCACTGTAAATTTGAAACGAGTAACTAACTACTTGTAGTTTTACATTACCACGATACATATGCTAAATATGAAAAACATTATTGTCTACGAGTTTCAGGGCTGGTGTAAACGTAAAGGGTTACTTCATTTGGTCACTGTTTGATGGTTTTGAATGGAGTCAGGGATACACGGTTCGATTTGGCATTTTTCATGTGAACTTCAAAGACGATCTAGCTAGATTCCCGAAGAACTCAGCTCTATGGTTGATGAACTTTCTTAACAGAAAACTTGCTAAAGGTCGGATGAAGAGACAGATTGAAGGCCGCGAAGAACACAATCCCGCGAAAAGGCTAAGAACTCGTTGAGTTCAAATCTGTTATTTTAGTACCTTTTACTTGCTTTTTTGCCGACATTTTTTCACCTCGTTTCTAGTTTCTTTAAATGGAGCATAATGGTGATGCAAATTGGAGCTATGATTGGAAATATTTATGTATTATGCAGATTACATATTGTAAATTTCTATTTGTTGGATTATTTATTTGCTCTTTTCAATCATGCTACACATTCAAGCTCAAATTCAGACTCAAATTCAGATGAAACACGTGTCGATTCATAATTGGACAGTTTGAAAATTTAAAACAAAAACATCAACTCATTTTTTAATACATCAATTTGTCTCTTTGCTCCCTATTTTTAAGCCTG